AGCATAATTCCTTCTGGCTCCATCCACGTTGCTGTGAATGGCATGGTGGTGAAAAAGGAACTCTACTACATTGTTGGTGGGAGTGCAAACTGGTCCAACCACTGTGGAAAGCCCTCTGAAGGTTCCTCAGTCTACTATAATTGGAGCTACCATACGACCCAGCAATTCCACTCCTAGGGATCTACCCAAGGGACCCAAAAACATTGATTTAAAAGAATACCTGCACCCCTATGTTTATAGCAGCACTATTTGCAATAGCTAAGCTATGGAAGCAACCCAAATGCCCAAAAATAGATGACTGGATCAAGAAGATGTGGTACATCTACACCATGGAATATTACTCAGCAATCAAACAATAGAAGATACCTTTTATTTCCCTTTCTTGTCTTATCGCATGAACTCAACCCGGGGAACCTCCTCACACCCCCGCCCCTCTGAGCCTAGCTGGGGCTCTGGGACCCCAGCTAGGTCGCACTCACCGCAGCTTGCCTTACACCTCACCCCCCTTTCTCTCAAATTTCTTTTTTTTTTTGTTTTTTGAATATTTATGCATACCAGAACTGGGGTATAGGCCAGAGGTGGGGGGGTGGGTGTTGGTGCTGAGAGGATTCACCAGAGACAGAGCAGGGAGCAGAACAGGCAGATTGACTGAAATACACTGCTGAGGGGAGCAGCAGGTGAGTCAGGAGAGGTCAGCTGCGCCATGTGGGTTGCTCCCTGGCCAGCCGGGGATAGAACTCATGCTGCAGTGGCTGTAGATTGCTTCACAGGTTGTATCTAACCCCTTGCACCACCAGGGAGGCTCTCTCAAATTTCTTAAATGATAGTTTATTCCTATGTATAGAATATTAATTTCTCTTTTATGTGCACTTGAATTCAGTGTTCTCTCTGCCCAGTGACTTAGTCCCAGGGGTATGTCTTTGCAATACCGTCTCTGTCACTGGCTATATTCAGTTACCATCTTCATCATGTGTTTTTGGTGAGCTGCTGCTTTCCTTTTTGTCTTCGTTTTCTTTTCACCAGAGCTCTCCCTCTGCAAAATTCTTTAGAATTTAGAATTTACCCTTTCCCTGCGATGGTTCTAGGCCTTTGTAGCAATAAAACATTTGGGCCTACGCCATGAAAGCATGTTTATTCATCCCGGCTCATCTTGCCTCCCCCAAGCAGGATGAGGTCTGACTGTGTTCCTGGTCATCCTTGTAGCTACTAGCCTGCTGAAAAGGTTCACTTTAGGGGGACAGCGCACCCTCAGTGCACCCTGAGCCTGGCAGGCAGCCTGCCCGACCCCCGATGGGCCTTGTGACTGGAGGAGGCCCCTGAGCCCTCACAGGTACCCTCCTCCTCTCGCTGTGTCTCGCTCCATGGCTTCGGTGTTCCAGTCCCTGGGTATTAAAATTGATACATGCTGAGTCCAAAAAAGTCCTTGCCACCCATAAAAGATAAAAGAAAAACATCCAAAGATTATGCACAGTATCGTCACCCAGGGAGAACCATGATGGCATTTTGTATGGAGCCTTCCAAATGTATTTGCTCTTGGACCGTCATGGAATTACAGTAATTACTATTTTGCAAAATGATGTCCACTAGACATGTTTCATAATTTCATCAGCTTTATGTTCTGGACATGTTTACATGTGGGAAAATAGAGCCCGCGATCGCCTCTGCTGCACCGACGGCGTTTCTGTGTGGGTCCCTGCCCTAGGGAATGGCAGCCAGGCCTGCCTGCTCTTCCCGCGCCTCCGCCCATGCGTGTCGTCCTGCTCTCTCGTCATCCCCCAGTCTCTCCTCTTCGGATCTTCCTGCTCTTTGCTTGGACTTAAACTGTTCTCTCATCAGCCCTTGCTTTCTTCACTGTGGTGTCCTAGCGCCTTCCCCTCCCCGTCCCGACTTACCATCTGTACTGGGGCCTCTCGCTTGGCCTCCCTGCTCCTCTTCTAACTTGCGCCACCCGTTCTCTCTCCCCTCCCAGCCCACCCTGGGGACGCCGCAGTAGTTTGACTTTCACGTTCCTGGTTGTGACTAAGGTGAGCGGTGGCACCAGCCCTGCTGAGGAGGCCGTGGTGCTGCTGTCAGGGCTGGAGCCCAGCCGGGAGCTGGGGGCTGGTGCTGAGCTGCTCTTCACAAAGCTATGCTGGAGTGTGCCCACAAGAGTGAGCCGGCCGCAGCCTCGGGTAAAGGAAGGGAAGAGAGGGAGCAGGGCTTGCACTTACACCTAGAGGCCGTGAGTCTAGGGGTCTCTGTTCAGTGACTTAGCTCCAGGTGAATTAAAAAAGAACTCCTCATGACTGCCTGCTTTTGTTGGTTCCAGAGCTATTAAAAATGCATAATTGCTAATCTCCCCAGCAGCACCATTCGAGACCTAAGCTTATAGAGCTAATGTGAGACATAATAAATAGAGCCAATAATGTCTGTACTTAGAGGTAAGAGAATCGTGCTTGATGTATTAATTTCATTTCTTTTTTAGAATTAAAGGAGTTTGCGCCCAGACTCTGTAGTTAATAGTCAAGACTCGCTCTTGGAAACTTCCTCACTATGTGGCTAGTGTTCCGCTTTGGAGACGAGAGCAGCTGGTCTGAGTGTGTCTTGGCAGTGAGTTCTCACAAAGCCAAAGTCACCTCTTCCGTGACTGTCCCCGTGGCCACCTGGTTCTGGCCACACCTGCATCTTCTCAGGGCCTTCCTTACCCTGCCACCCGTCCGAAACGCAGTGTCACTACTGTTTACTGTGTTGTGCACTTCAGGTGGGCTGCAAGGCTGTGGTGGGCTGGTAAGAACCCACAGTCTCAACCTGTAGGTGCCTCAGGCTTGTGAAATGGAAACCAATCATAAAGCTGCCTCGGCTTCAGGACCGAGCGCATCCGTAGTTTCAGGATTATTTTTATGCTGATGAATGTCTTTTGAAATAAGGAGAGAGTAAACACTTATTCCAATATCGCTCTCAGTGTTTAAAAGAATACGTTAAGAGGAGTGGATTCTCCTTGCCAGTTGCCTTCAGATCCTATGACAAAGTCCCAGCAACCCCCATAAATTTAAAATAGTGAAACACTTACCAAGAAAGTCCACTTATTTCCTTTGTGTCTCTGGGTAAGTGCGTCAACGTTTCTATACTTTAGTTTCCTCAACTGTAACATAATCGTACTACTTAAGTCACGAGTTGTTGTAAATGAATTAACTATCTGCAGCGCCTGACACATCATCATTACTATGGGCCTCTGCGGTCACTCTCTACTGCCATTACGACCACTGCCGCTGCTGCCACCCCACCGCCCCATCATCACCACCGCCAGCGCCACCTCCACAGCCACAGCCACCACCTCCACCAGTGCTAACATCCCCCCTTCTTCCATACCAATTTAGGAATTTACTGGTTTAGGAATTTAAGAATTGACTTCTGGCTGAGTCTGCAAACAAAAGCTGCTCAGGATGTAGCTTTGCCACTAAGGAGACAGCGACATCCATGGTCAGTTCTGAGAGAGCAGTCCTGCAAGGGTTTTGCGCGGCGACGTGCACGGGGATTGGGGGGAGACCTCGAGCCTCTCGGATGTTGCTCCACGGACAGCCCCTCTCGGCGGGTACACCCCGCACACGTGCACAGAGCAGTCACGCTGCGCCCTGTTCTCCAAGCTGAATGTGCTTCGTGCCGCAGAAACTGTGCTCCCCACCCCATGCCTCTCGCACGGCCCCCAGCCCGCTGCTGTGTGGATTGCACATGTTCAAGTGATATGTTGATTAGCTGCTAAGGAAGAGTTGAGGGGAGGAGAATTAGGAATAAAATGTTCTCCAGTTAATTGCACATTGCTTCCCTGCTTAAAAATGAATTTGCATTTTATTATCTTTTTTACAGTTTCTGGAAATGCTGTGGTTGGCATTTGTCATTTGATTTTATACAACTTTGTACATTTTATGGAAATGAATTCCTTACAAAGGATTCATTGTAGGATTTTGTATTTTTATTATTTCAAAATGGAAAGGCCTGTTCCAGCGATACTTCATGCTGTTCGTTAGGCGCATAACTGCAATCTAGAGCTGCAGAGCTGGCCGGCCAGATCCAAGACAGCGGGGCCCAGCGCCCCCAGGCCTGTGGGGAAGCCGCTGCCTCAGTTTCTTCAGCTGAGAGAAACTACTGGATCCTGCAGTCCATTTCCCCGCTCAGGAAACTGGGGCTGCGACCACAACCCTGGTACAGCAGGGGTTACAGTAAATGCCCCTCAAAGTCCTTTAAAGGTGGACTCACAGTTACACTATAAAAAAGACTTCAGGGTTTGAAACACCTCCTTGTGTTAAAGAATGTGAATAAATCCAAATCTTATGTTAGTATCTGTTCATTACAGGAAGCTGTAGTGGGGATTTATTCGCACAAATCACCAGATTGTTTTAAGGGGAAAGTGAAGCGAAATGTCTTCCAGGTGCTCCTCAGGGTGGATCAGCCGTACATTTCCCTGTCCCTGCCTCGAGTTTTCCGTGTTATTAGGGGGTCCTGTCCACTAGGAAAGACTGTTAGATCTCCCTCTCCTGCTCTCCCCGTTTCTCCTTTCCTCCCTCCTCCTCCTCTCCCCAGGTAGACAGCCGCCTCCGGGAAACCCAAGGCGTTCCTCACCCGCTCTCTGTTCTCTGGCGGCTGCCCGGCTCTCACACAGACCCACTGCTTGTCTTCCTGCGAGCGGCTCTTTCCCCTGCTCACTCACTGCTTTCCATGCCGCTGCCATCCCTTCGTGCCCCTGCCCCCCAGCCTCAGGGGTTTACTGAAGTCCACCGGTTTTTGAAAGTATTTCACATCAATGAATTGTCTGCTATGTAAATGTCTAGCATTTGTTTTTATCATTCTGATATTCTGATTTCCTTTGCGGCACCTGCTTCTCTCAAAACCCCTTCGTTGTGTTGAAAACGCTGCACGTCACCCTCCTCACGGCCACGAGATGCTCGGCGGGTGCAGCCCTCCGCTCCCAGCCAGGTCTGTGGCTGCACGTGCGGGCCGCGACTGTGCCCAGCCATCGTGGGCAGTGCGGCTGGGAATACTGTGGGACGTGCTTCCCTTTTGATGGTTTCATATTCTGTGATGCGTGCCCAAGAGACTGCTGGTTGCAGGCTGCTCCCAGACCACGCTCCCATCCCCCGAGGGGCAGGTCCTCTCTCTGTGCCTTTCCTGCACTCCCCACTCCCTCCCGTGTCTTAGCCTCCAGGAAATGGTGGTCACCCTGTCACCTGGTTTGTGCTGTCCTGCAGGACGGGAAGAAGGAGTCCAGCTCGTGCACCTGCCTGAATGGGCCCAAGCTGTCGGACATCGGCACCATCGCCTGGATGATCACGCTCAGTGATGCCCTCCACAACTTCATCGATGGGCTGGCCATCGGGGCCTCCTGTACCTTGTCCCTCCTCCAGGGCCTCAGCACCTCCATAGCCATCCTGTGCGAGGAGTTTCCTCACGAGCTAGGTGAGAGGCTTGCTCTCTAGTGAGGCTGGAGAGATGTCTTCAGTGGAGAGATGTCTCAGGCAACACGGTTGTAAAACCCCTGCGCGGGCACCTGGAGGGACAGTGGCTAGGCCATAGCTCATCCCGGGAGCCCAGCAGCTCACTTGACACAACTCTTCTTGCAGGGGACTTCGTGATCCTGCTCAATGCGGGCATGAGCACCCGGCAGGCCCTGCTCTTCAACTTCCTGTCTGCCTGCTCCTGCTACGTCGGCCTGGCTTTCGGCATCCTGGTGGGCAACAATTTCGCTCCCAACATTATATTTGCGCTCGCTGGAGGCATGTTCCTTTATATTTCTCTGGCAGACATGGTAAGACATTTCAGTTTTATCTGGTTTACCTTAAACATTACAGCGGCCCATCTGGGCTGTGCATGATGAAGCGTGGCCTCCTTCCAGTGTGCAAGGCCTTTCTGCTGTCCATTCAGACACTTCTGGCTGAACAAATGCCTCTTCTTGAGTCATTTCACTAAGTGGGAAATGGTTCCCAGTGATCGTGTGGTCTTACCTGTAGACGGTGACAATGGCATGGTCTCGCCTGAGTAGAGGCTTTCCTGGGTGAGGCCCGTATCCTGCCATCTGTCCCCACAGGGCTTTTCCCGCTCTCCCTCGCGAGGGTGTCACACCTGGAAGTGGAATAACGTGTCAGGGTAAAGACATTTTGTTATTTCAAAGTTCTAAACAGTGCCAGCGTTTTGGACTAAACTAAAACTGATAAAATGGTTAAGTTCAAACTGGGCATTTCCTGCTTGGGGCAGCATTTGTTTCTATCCACGTGTCTGTCTGGGCTATGTTTGCTGTTTGCCTCTCATTCTCCATGTCTGTGTGTGCGCTCATCAGTGGTCCTGCACCTTGTTAAAGGAAGGGAAATGGCCAGCTTTTCAGAAAACCAAAGTGCGCCAAGTGTATGTAAATCAAGGGCTGTTTGCGTTGCATTTGGAACTGAGTAGCTGTTGCATACATGCCCAGTCATTCAGTTTCACTTGCCTGGGCCTTAGTTATAAGTAACTGTCCAGCTTTGTTCACTGTTCCGTGCAGACAGCGTAAGAGCAAGGGTGTCATGTCTTAGAATCATCACTGCATTTATATTTTTCTCGAGAAGTAATGCCTCACAGTATTTATTCCAGGCCACCACTGCTCCCCGGACCTATTAGAGCTCCTCGGTGTAGGGGCCAGTGCTGAAGTGCCAGGCAGCCTTGCTCTCTCGGGGTGGCCCTGCAGCATTCACCCTTTCATCCTGTCAGCAGCTCCACTGCCAGGCCCAGGGTGGATGTGGGTCCCGAGGCTTCCTGCTCTGGTACAACGCTCCACTGCACACACAGCAGAACATTTGGCATCTAGTTTGAAAAGCTGGCATTTGCAGGGCTCCTAATGGAATCTTTCATCTGCTGAGAAGGGGTAGATTTGAAGTCCAGAACTTGGGGTTTTAATTGCTTTCACTGTGATGAAATTGTTGTAGTGTTCAATTCTAATTCGTTTAAAAATCTTACAATTTTGTGAGGGGTAGAACAAGCCAAAGGAAACAAATTGAAGAGAACAGGAATCACATGCATACTGATTTCTACAAATTAATCTCATTAGCCACAGCTGAAGGGTATTCTGTCCCAGACCTGAGACCCCTGAGTGAGCGAGACAGCCCGGCCTCTGGCTATCTCTCGAGAGGGGGTACCCTGCAGAGAGCCACATACCTGACTAAGTAACAGCAAATTCGAGGAGAGACAATATATATGATGGGCTGAAGTGTGTTTGGAGGCTGAGGGAAATCTTTCTAGGGAAAGAGGAGCTTGAAAGGAAAACTGAAGCATTTGGCTCAAGAAAGGCTGGTGGGAGAAGATTCCCTCTTGGAGGCCTGGGGCGGGTGGGGTGGGGAGAGGGTGAAGCTTGTGAGGATGGAGAGTCTGGAAGCACCGAGGTCCAGAAAGGATGGTGGGGTGGATGGGGAGGGGGCAGCAGGAATGGGTACCCCCACCGTCCTCGCTGCTTTGGTGCTCCACTCCTGCTGGTGTCTGGCGGGCCAGTCAAGCTGGGTGCGGTGGCCTACAGCCCCACAGCAATCTGTGGTCGGCAGTTTTATGTTCCACCACCAGGTGGCAACAGCCCCCCAACAATCTCTCTCCCCCAGTTTCCTGAGATGAACGACATGCTGAGGGAGAAGGTGACAGGCCGCAGGACCGACCTCACCTTCTTCATGATCCAGAATGCGGGCATGCTGACCGGCTTTGCCACCATCCTGCTCATCACCCTGTATGCTGGCGACATCGAGCTGGAGTGACGGGCCGGGGCGGCAGGAGCATCTGGTGCATCAAACATCTCCAGAGGGACTTCTAAGCTGATCCCGTGTAGTTAAAATGTAATTTTGTTCAGCTGTAGGTCAAGGAAGGTGATGATTGGTTTCATATCTGTGCAAGAGGCCATTATTTGCTGTTTAAATGCTTCAAAATGTCTCCCGCTCCAGTCCCAAGAGCCCGGTTAAAGGAGATTTGGTCAGTTCCCATGTTCCCCTGATCCCCACAGTAGAAAACCACCCCAAAGCCAGAGCCACACACTCTGTAGGGACTTAGACACCAAGACCCAGAGGAAGGCACAGGCAGTCCCATGAGGTTCTGCCACTCTGTGGCGGGGTCAGAGGCTGGAGGGTTTCGGAGGTTTGCGCCCAGTTAATTTGCTCCCAGTTAATTTGCAAGCACAGCAAAGTGTGGAGGTGTGGGGGCACCGGGAGGCTTTCGGCGTCCGTCCTGGCTCTGTCCCGCTTTTCTCTTTAGCTGTGGGGACTTGTAGGATCATTTGAAAGCCATTCTAGAATAGCAGGAATCATGAAATCGGGAAGTTGTGCCACCCTACTGCACTGTCCCTTCGTGTCCGCCCCACCGGGTCCCCCCAAGGGCCAGCTGGCTTTGCTGTGGCTGGCGGGGCAGGGGCCCATCGGTGGAGGGCAGGTGTGTGCTGGGTACCCCGCCAGCTGGGGACACCGTGTGCTCGCAGAAGGGGCCCCCGGCTTGGTCCCTAGGCAGAGGTGGACCGTAATGTGAAGACATATACTTTCGAAGATGAAACAATTACTCAGCAAAGACTGCTTTAAATAAATGGAGAGCAGAGGCCGGACTGCCCATGTTCAGGGTGAGGAGCAGGCGGCGCGGTGCCTTATGGGAGTGAGAGCCATTGAGGGATGACTGGGTGTGCAGCCTACATTTTTTCTACGTGGCAGATACATGTTGAAAACAATTTAGTGCTCTGTGTTGTTTTTCTACCTTTTCTAAAGATAGGGCCTGTTTACTTATTTAGGAAATAGAGAAAGTTGGCCTAAAATCGAGCTTCCTAACCCAGTTGACACTCCCAAAACACTTAAAGAAATAGGATTTGACAGGAAAATGACTGGGAGAAGCCAACACTGGTCTCAGGAGTGGCGTTTTCCCGCAGAATGTAAAGTGCTGTCTGCAGCAGCAATGCAGGTTGGGGCTGTTCACCAGGTGGGTTCAAATGTAGCTCACTCGCTGGCCAAAAGTACCAATCACTGTTTAACCAAAAAGTAAACACCTTTAAAACCATGGGTGGTGGTGTCCACTGTCCGCTTAGCATGTACCTGTGTGAGTGACTCTTGTATCTGGCATTATGGGGGAGGGAGAGAAACAGGAAATTGATGATATGTTTATTTCTAAGAGCCAGCAAATAAAAACTATAAAGATTAATCATTGTTCATTAAAATAAGTAAAAACTATGTATTTTTATAATTTTCATCGGATTGCATTTGATCTTAGGAAATAATGTTTACCATTTAAAGCACAGATTCTATGTCTGGGTTAAGCTGTTTACGATGTGGTATTAAAACAAGACGGGTTAACACACTCCCACTTGGTGCAGGCTGCTGTGTGTGTGGTGTAGGCTGCTATGTGCTAGAGGCTCTGGCTGCAGGCGGGAGGTGGGATGTGGACAGCCAGGACTAAATTCAGATTATCTGGGTAACCAGTTAGGAAGGCGTAAGGCTGCCGGGCATCGTAGTTTATAGTGAGGGGTCCGCGAGACCAGTTGAATGTCCATCGCCTTCAGGCTTTAGTGATTAAGCTACTGTGACAAACCGGAGATGATCTCAGTGCTCTACATGATGCGTTCCGTAACGTTGTTTTTGCTTTATTCAACTTTAAAAAGCACCTGCCAATCTCTGGCATGTCTTGTGCACGCCATCAGACCCCATCTCAATCCATTCAGGCTGCGGTGACAGCAGCAAAACATCTCGGCGTGGGCAGCTTAAAGGCACTGCCCGGAGCCTGGATGGAGGTATCAGCAGAGCCAGTGTCCAGTGAGGACCCACTTTCTGGTTCATAGATGGTGCCTTCTCTGTCCTCATGTGGAAGGTGTGCGGGACCCCCTGGCCTCCAAGAGGCACCGGTTCAGTTATGAGGGCTTTCAACATCTGTTGTTGGGGGACCCCAAAAGGCAGGCCCGAGCAGACCCCTGGTCCCCTGAGGGTTGGGCTCAGCTCTGAGAGCAGCAGCAGGGCTCTGGTGGCATCCTGGTGAGGAGGGGAAGCAGGAGGGGCCGCCCTCCCTCTGTCTCTGCAGGCTGCTGCTTCACCTAGTAGCAAATGTCTAATATCAATAATTACTCATCAGATGTTTCCAGAACAGCCTGCGTCTAACTCTCCTGCTTACATGGTTCCCCCAGCACAGCGCAGGGTAGGGGAGTGAGTGGTGTGACGGCACCCTCGGTCAGGACGGATGTGTGTCTGCTGGAGCGTCCAGAGGCCGTGCTGGCTTCTGCAGCCCCCCACCCCAGTGGGCAGATGTGTGTGCGGTGTGGGTTCTGTGAGCGGCACTGAGGATGACGTCTGGGCACCCAGGGCAGCCTCACTGGAGGGGGTTTCCCACGGCCACACCTGCAGGGCTTCTTCAGCGGGGCCTATGCCATGAAGGTATGGCCCCCTGAGAAGCACTGCATGGCACTCGGCAATGAGCAGCTGCTCAGCGCAGGGTGTGAGCAGAGTCACGCTGTGACTGTGCAGGTCACCAGCTGCCCATCCGCCCTCCATGCCCTGCTTGGCCTTCTCTCACTTTGGGCCCATCCACAGGCTCCTGCTGTGTCTGTGGAAGGGGCTTCTTAGCTCACGTGGGCGCCTGCCTTGCTGTCCTGGAGGCCCAGCTTCAGGGTGCTCAAGGAAGCCGAGACATGGAAAACTCCAAATGCCTCTCTACTAAGCTGAGGGCACTCAGGCTGTGTCCTCCCGAGGACAGGCTGTGCGCGGGGCCCCGGGTGCCTGCTGATGTGGTGCAGCTGCGCATCCGCACAGGCACTGCTGGCCAGGCTCAGGACCTGAAGGTACAGCTGAAAGAAGCCTGGCAGTGCAACCCCGATCTGGCCAGGCGGCTCTGCGGTCCTTGGGAACCGGCTGCCTTGCAGTATCATATGTGATGTCATCTAATATGCTTGTGATACCATGTTCTAAGGTGGTGGCTAGAGACACAGCAGGACATCGACAGCGCATGTGGTGGGAAGGAGGCCTGGGTGCAAGAGCAAAAAGCACACCCCACTCTTCATCTTTCTCGGAAGTGACGGGCCGTCACCACCTGTGCCCACTCAGGACTGCTGACATGACCACACCAGCTTGTAAGACGGGCTGGGACACTCCCTACCCCCAAAGTGTGAGGGCTCTGCTACCAAGAAGAGGCAAAGCATGATGATGGGTAAGTTGTGGCCGTCTCAGGCAAGGACAGGTTTGCATTGGGGTCACTTGGGAAAATTATTATTCTAGAAGGTTCTGAGGCCAGTTTGAACTGCTGCTTTTTGGGAATCTTCATTTCTTTCCAATTCCTGTCACCTTGACCATTTTAATCATGCAGCAGCCTTACCTTACAGGGTGTTCAGACACAGCCATCTTTATAGTTTCTCTCTCTCGGCCTGTTGTACTGTTTTTCACAGGAAGATCTAAATTCTAAGGAAGCCAAAACAAAACTCCTTTTCTGGAGGCTGTGTGTGACCTTTCTGTTTAAAACTCTTCTGATTACCAGGCTCATTATGCATACTAGGCTCCAGAATCATGAGACTAAGTACTATCAGAAGAACTTTGCAAATATAAATTTAAATAATCACTTACTTCTCCCCCTCTTCTGGGTTATTACATGCAAAAGGTGGGTCAGAAGTGCTATTTGCTGTCTGAGTTCTGCAGCTGATGAGGCCGGCTCCTGGCGCCAGTGATCTCAAGGGCACAAGGCATAGGCAAGGGCAGTGAGCGCTTTCGGGTGGCCAGGACTTTGTGTTGAACTTTAAAGAAACGTGTAGTTTCCAGAGTGGCGATTGTGTGTGTCAACGCAAACAGCTGGGCAGACTTTAAGATCCCCAGTGAGGGAACTCCTGGGTAGGGCTGATCCCGCTGAGGTCACCAAAGGGACATTGAGGGAGAGAAGCAAAGATGGAAAGTTACCAACTCCAGGGGAAAGCCTCCAATGGAGACTTCAAGTCAGAAATTCTTGTCTCCCTCAGGAAGCCCAGGAAGCACCAGGCCAGCTCCACCTGTGCCAGGCACTGCCTCCTCTTAGAGGCTGTGGTGAGGAACTGTGGGCTGGTCTCCAGGAAGGTGTCTGAGCCCAGGATGAGTGAGTTCATGGCATTTGGCACAGGGAGCAGGGGTGAGCAAGCTGCCCTCCGATGGGCTGAGGTGCCTCCTGGGCTCTCCCTTGAGACTCCGTGCACTCTGGCCTGCCTGTGGTCACGAACGAGTTAACGAACCAGGAACACTGATTTTTAGAAATCTTAGAAACTGTTGGGGAGGTACTTTCCATGCCTTTCTCCGCCTCTGCCTTTTGTCTTTCAATGAAAACATCTCTCAATTTGCAAAAGCTAAACTTGAGCTGTGTGAGTGTCTCATGGGCAGGTACACGTGAGCAGCGTCCCGCGCTGTGGCCTGGGGCTGCACTGACAGGAGCCATCCCCCTGCAGCCGGGTGCCCAGCTGAGATGTGCAGGGCACTCCTTGGGCCCGGAGGAAGTAGGTCGGGGCCGTGCAGCCCACTAGGCCAGGGCTTTCCTCCTCGTGCTCCTCACTTGTGCTCCTGTCCTTGGGAGAGCAGGTTGGCCTCTGAGAGAGCCGCCCAGCCCTGCCCCGTATAGCATGCGCCAGTGCCCTGCCACACTCACCCTTCCACAGAGCCGTCCGGCCCACGGGCTCAGGGTCCAGGAGGAAAAGGCTGAACCGGAGGAGGCGTGAACGGCCCACAGTGGGACTCGGGGTGGCTCAGCCGTCCAGGCGCCAGCATCGGGTCCTCAGTATGCTGCTGATTTTTCTGGAGCTCCTTCCACTTGGGAATTACCCAGGCTATTCAAAATGTCCCAAGTCCTGTTTCCTTTTGGTTTTAGAGGACCTGAGTTTCTGTTACTTACAATGAAAAGTCTCTAAAGAACACAGCCATTAAATACATTTCCTCCTGGAGCCAGGAGGGACTGCGGCCAATACACCTCGCAGCTCCAGTTTAGCACAGCTGGGAGTGCACTGCCCGGGGTGAGGTCGGGGCAGCCTTCCTCCCTTCCTCCCTCCCTGTCTCTCTCTCTCTCAAACCAAGGCCCATATAAGGGCCTGGATGCTTTCTGTCTCTTACCCACGCCAGCGCGCGCTCGTCTCAGGACAGTGGCTCTGATGTGTGATGATGGAGAAGGTGAGGGAGGACCAGTCGTACCTGGCGGTGGCAGGCGGGGGCCTGAGTCCCCACAAGGGTCTGAGTCTCATCCCTCAGTGCCTCTCCCTCACTCTCTCAGCTACTCCAGTTACCACCCCGGAACGGGAGGACGAGTGGGAAACGCAGCAAGGCGGTGTGGCAGGACGCCAAGAGGCCAGGAGGAGCGAGAGCCAGGATGGGATGGCTAAGCGGGCCTGCAGGAGCTCAGGCCATGCTGACAGCGTGGCTTTGTAAGCTGTAAACGCCTTTCTTGGTGTGAGTATTATTTTGCTTGCCATTAGTAAATTATATGTAACTTGCCATATGGTTTTGAACTAAAATTATTTCTGCTTTGAGAAATTTTGCATCATGCTTTGGTATAAATATCAAAGACCTCAAAAACTCAAGACTGAGGATGATTTCCTCTGAGAAGCATGCAGCACACTATTGGTGGAAATAAACTTAGAAAGTATGTCAGCCTCAGGCATGCCGAAGCGAGTCTCCTGCCGTGGGGGAATGACTGGGGGTTGGGACAAGTGACATATTAAGAAAAAAGCACAGCTCACTGTCTTGTGAAGCAAAAGACCAAGAGATGAGACATAACAGGGACATCGGATGAGGTTAATGGCAGAAATCTGTGCTCTGGAAAACCTGTTCTGAAGCCTAGTTCAGATTTAAGGAATCTGACTCGTGGAAATACTCTGGCCCGGACTTGGAGGCCACAGGCCGATGCTGGCTGGACAGCCCCGCGGGTTGCCCACGCCGGGTCCATCCCATAGCAGTCACCTGGGCCACTGCGTCCTCCCCACTGCCTCCCCCTCAAGCCCACCACCGGCCCCAGGCCCGCTTCGGTCCCGTTTGCCTGGCCACTCCCACTTGGCTTCGTGCATCTGTGCGCTCTCCTGGTCTCAGACAAGCAACTTGTCACTGAGGAAAACCAATCCTAATGCTTGCGCTCGACTGTGAGGCCTTCCTTCTCGCGTAGTCAGGGCCATTGCTCAGCAAGTCTCCCCTCCTGTCCCTGGTAATCAAACCGGCCCTTTCAACTTGAATATTCTCTTGGGCTACCAGCAGTCTTTACATGCTCATATATTAACAAAGGAAGAAAAAATAAAGCAAGCAAGAAAAAAATCGCCTCTCTTGGCCTCACATTCCCCTTCACCTACCCCTGGCCCCTTCCCGCCTGCTCTTTACGAGCCAGGGCTGAGATGAGCGTCATCCTGGTGCTCTCCAGTACCTTCCATTCTCAGC